CTGAATGTCCGAGAAATTTTCATAGAAAATTTTCGTTCTTTGACAGGATTCTATGAAAATTTTCTATGAAAATTTCTCGGACATTCAGGCTGGTAAATGTTATTTAATACTGTTTATCATAAACAGAGCATTTGCTTAAATACTTGTATCTATAAAATAACAACGTTAAACATAAAAATATGTCTTTAATAAATAAATTGTCGGACCTTGTCCATTTCTTAATATATGAGTAATGAAAATCTTAGTAATCCATATGGATAATCCCAAGGAGGATGAAATCCTGAGAGCTCAATATAAATTCAGAGCAAATAATTTAATTTAAAGAAAAACAGACCACTTTAAGGCTCCAGTGTAATAATTTATTTCACCAGAGACTTTTATTTTTCCCTGGATCTTCAGACATCACTTTCAAAAGGTGAAACAAAAAATGAAATTAAAATTTACACTTTTGACGGGCAGTATTAAGCTTATATAAGTTGACATAGAAGGTAGTGAGGGATGGTGTGAGAGACATAGTCGAGTTTAGAGAGGGAAGGGAGAGTTTTAAAATTTCTTTTTATATTTCTTTTTATTATAATACTTAATATATATATATATATATATATATATATATATATATATATATATATATATAATGTAATAATACTTAATATATATATATATATATTAATGTAATTTTATTTCTAAACCATCATTATTTTTTTTTTTTAAACAGTATATGATACTATGTGAGTAGACACCATGTTTTTTTAAACAGTGAAAATTACATCTATGCCCTCTAAACTCAAAAACTTTAATAAACAGATTGTCCCCCAATGTTGTAGCATAGTTGTTACTGGTGTGGAAAATGGATTTAAAACCATTTCGGCTTCCTTCAGCTAGTAGTGAAATAGCAGGGTATACCAGTCAGTCTAGCTTGGTTTGGCAACTGTTTGGTCATGAAACTAACAATGCTACCTCATAAATCTTAAATGCTACAGAAGACACAACAGTAACACTGAACATGGGGAAGCTAGGGTCATATACCTTAGAGACAGTCTACAATGTTAACATGTAACATATGTATGAGCCTGTCATCACAATGTTTTTCTTTTATAATCATAGGTACATATATATATATATATATATATATATGAATTGGGATCAGATATGGTTTGGAACCTGACAGAATGATAGATTAAGGAACAAATTGGAAATATTTATAAATCTAAAATGTTTAGCTTTTATTAAAGCTTCATCAAAGAATTTTTTTTTGCAGTTTCTTTCTTTTTCTTCATATCTCACTGTCTTATGTGTGTGTGTGTGTGCATATATATATATATATATATATATATATATATATATATATATAAACGTGCATATTTGTGCAAATATAATTTTGGATATGTCTGTATCTATATATAATTTTGCATATAGATATAATATATATATATATATATATATATATATATATATATATATATATATATATATGCAAAATTATAAGTATTGCAGCCTTTAATTAATCTGTAGCTTTGATTTCTAAGTACACACTGTTTCTTTCTCTCTCTCTCTCTCTCTCTCTATATATATATATATATAGATAGATAGATATATGTTATATAGCATACAGTTATTCCTGGTGGTCATAAAAGTTTGCTTAAAGTAAAATAACAAAGATTGAATTTGTACTACTAATTATTATACAGTTGTTCCTCAGCATTTTGTGCAACATTGAGCATCATCTATCTATCTATCTATCTATCTATCTATCTATCTATCTATCATCTATCTATCTATCTATCATCTATCTATCTATCAATCATCTATCTATCTATCAATCATCTATCTATCTATCTATCAATCATCTATCTATCTATCAATCATCTATCTATCTATCTATCAATCATCTATCTATCTATCAATCATCTATCTATCTATCTATCTATCTATCAATCATCTATCTATCTATCAATCATCTATCTATCTATCAATCATCTATCTATCTATCTATCTATCTATCTATCAATCATCTATCTATCTATCTATCATCTATCTATCTATCTATCAATCATCTATCTATCTATCAATCATCTATCTATCTATCTATCAATCATCTATCTATCTATCTATCATCTATCTATCTATCTATCAATCATCTATCTATCTATCAATCATCTATCTATCTATCAATCATCTATCTATCTATCTATCAATCATCTATCTATCTATCAATCATCTATCTATCTATCAATCATCTATCTATCTATCTATCAATCATCTATCTATCTATCTATCTATCAATCATCTATCTATCTATCAATCATCTATCTATCTATCAATCATCTATCTATCTATCTATCAATCATCTATCTATCTATCTATCAATCATCTATCTATCTATCAATCATCTATCTATCTATCTATCAATCATCTATCTATCTATCAATCATCATCTATCTATCTATCAATCATCTATCTATCTATCAATCATCATCTATCTATCTATCTATCTATCTATCATCTATCAATCATCTATCTATCTATCAATCATCTATCTATCTATCTATCTATCTATCTATCTATCTATCAATCATCTATCTATCTATCAATCATCTATCTATCTATCAATCATCTATCTATCTATCTATCTATCTATC